TTATAGATGGATGGATGGATGCCGGATGGATGGATTATAGATGATGGATGGATGGATGGATGGATGGATGAATTCTGGATAGATGAATGGATGATGGATGGATTGATCAATGGATGGAAGGATGGATAGATGAATTATGGATGGATAGATGGAGGATGGATGGATGGATGGATGGATGGATAGATGGATGGATAGATATATGGCTGAATTATAGATGGGTGGGTGGATGGCTGGATGGATGATGGATGAGTGAATTATGGATGGATGGATGGAAGGATCAATGGCTGCATGGATGAATTATAGATGGATGGATGGATGACTGATGGATGGATGGATGGATGAATTCTGGATGGGTGAATGGATGATGGATGGATTGATCAATGGATGTGGGTGGAAGGATGGATAGATGAATTATGGATGGATAGATGGATGATGGGTGGATGGATAGATGGCTGAATTATGGATCAGTGGGTCAATGGAGGGATGGATGATGGATGGATAGATGGATGAATTATGGGTGGATGAATGGATGATGGATGGGTTGATCAATGGATGGAAGGATGGATAGATGATTTATGGATGGATAGATGGATGATGGATGGATAGATGGATGGTGAATGGATGGATAGATGGATGGATGGATGGGTGGATGGATCATGGATGATGGATGAATGAATTAGGGATGGATGGGTTATGGATGGATGATAGATGGAGGGATTATGGGTTATGGATTGATGGATGGATGAAAATACTCTTCCTCCCCTTTTCCCTGGAAGCAGCTAAGCAGAAGGAAAGGGTGTATAAATGAATTATGGATGGATTATGAGAAACACTGGGAGGCATCCTAATCCATGACGTCATCTGTACTGTTCTCTCTGTTAGGAGCACACACACCTTCCCTATGACCCTCCAGACCACAGAGCCATTCAAGGCCCTTCGTAAATGATGGGGACACAGACACCCAGAGAGGTCATTCCCTTGGCCTTGATTAAGGCTGCCCTTGCCCTTTCTACACCCATCTCCACTGTGTCCAGGTCATAGGGCTGAGCTCTGAAGGAGACAGAATGGGCTGGGGCAGGAAGGCACAGAGCTCCCAGATGAAAGCCAGGCCGTGGGAAGCCACACTCAGCACCAACAGCCCCTCGTGCATCACGCCTGACTCCCTAACTCAGTGTCCTGCCCTCCAGCCCAGAGCTCCTTCCTGCTGCCCCACACCTGACCACACAGGCTGGGGGGTGTCTGGTTCCATCTACCCCAGCCTGAGGGCCACTGGAGCTGCCCAGCACAGGGAATCGGGACGTGTCTGTGGACGGCAGCTGTCTCCCTAGAAGTTAACTCCATATCCCTGTCCTCCCTCAGAGAAAGGGCTTTAGGCAAGACACACACAGGGGTGGAAGTTCACTCTTAAGTCTATCCAATTTTTTTTTTAATGGCTGCTGCTGAAACATCACAGGAGATCTAGGTGCCCAGTCTCGCAGCCATCTGCCAAGCCTGTGGCCTGGCAGGTCTGATGGCTACTTCCTCGTGCCTTGCAAGCCACAAGGAGGTCAAGCAAATGTAGGCAAATTTGGGATGGCACTGTGGTCAGCAGGCTGGTCGTGGGGGAGGAGGGCGGCTACTGTCTTCCTTTTGGGAATGTCTGCCTGGACTGGAGACAAGGTAAGCCCCTGGATGAAGGAAACAGAAGGAATAAAGGAAACCCCACCTTCCCCACAGAGAGTCTTACTCTCTGAGAAACCCCCTCAGGACCCCTTAGCAGGCCCCACTCCCAGGGCAGTGACTTCCCCTTCTCCCAGCACAGATGGCACCTTGCATTCGGGTGGGCAGGACGATGCCCCAGTCAGCTGTGCCCACTTCCCTGAAGAGACCCCCACACCGACTCTCAGCAAAGCCTTATTCCCAGAGAGAGAGCTGGGGACTAGATGCAGCAGCATTGCCATGTCTCCAGACCCCTGGAGCAAAGCCATGTCTTCTCAGACCCCAGGACAGAAGGGTGTCCCTTTCAGATCTACAGGACGGAGTTATGTCCTTTAAGACCCTCAGTGCAAGGTGGTGTTCCTCAGATCCCCAGGACAGAGCTTTACCTCCCCCAGACCTCCAGGACAGAATGTGTTCCCTCAGACCCAAGGCAAAACGTGTCCCCTCAGACCCCAGGACAGAATGTGTCCCCTCAGACCCCAGGACAGAACCGTGTCCCCTCAGATCCCAGGACAGAACCATAACACCTCAGACCCCAGGACAGAACTGTGTCCCCTCAGACCCCAGGACAGAACCACAGCACCTCAGACTCCAGGACAGAACCGTGTCCCCCTCAGACCCCAGGACAAAACCGTGTCCCCTCAGACCCCAGGACAGAACCATAGCACCTCGGACCCCAGGACAGAACCGTGTCCCCTCAGGCCCCAGGACAGAACATGTCCCCCCTCAGACCCCAGGACAGAACCGTGTCCCCCTCAGACCCCAGGACAGAACATGTCCCCTCAGACCCCAGAACAGAACTGTGTCCCCTCAGACCCCAGGACAGAATGTGTCCCCCTCAGAACCAAGGACGGAACGGTGTCCCCTCAGACCCCAGGACAGAATATGTCCCCTCAGACCCCAGGACAGAACCGTGTCCCCTCAGGCCCCAGGACAGAACCATAGCACCTCAGACCCCAGGACAGAACCGTGTCCCCTCAGGCCCCAGGACAGAACGTGTCCCCCTCAGACCCCAGGACAGAACATGTCCCCTCAGACCCCAGAACAGAACTGTGTCCCCTCAGACCCCAGCACAGAACCATGTCCCCTCAGACCTCAGGACAGAACCGTGTCCCCTCAGACCCCAGGACAGAACCATAGCACCTCAGAACCCTGGACAGAATCGTGTCCCCTCAGACTCCATGACAGAACATGTCCCCTCAGACCCCAAGAGAGAACTGTGTCCCCTCAGACACCAGGACAGAACTGTGTCCCCACAGACACCAGGACAGAACTGTGTCCCCTGAGACCCCAGGACAGAACACGTCCCCTCAGACCCCAGGAAAGAACGTGTCCCCTCAGACCCCAGGACAGAACCATGTCCCCCTCAGACCACAGGAAAGAACCATAGCACCTCAGACCCCAGGACAGAACCGTATCTCCCTCGGACCCCAGGACAGAACCATAGCACCTCAGACCCCAGGACGGACAGAACCATGCCCCCCTCAGACCCCAGGACAAAACCGTGTCCCCTCAGACCCCAGGACAGAACCGTGTCCCCCTCAGACCCCAGGACAAAACCATGTCCCCTCAGATCCCAGGACAGAATGTGTCCCCTCAGACCCTAGGACAGAATCGTGTCCCCCTCAGACCCCAGGACAGAACTGTGTCCCCTCAGACCCTAGGACAAAACGTGTCCCCTCAGATGCCAGGACAGAACCATAGCACCTCAGACCCCAGGACGGACAGAACCATGCCCCCCTCAGACCCCAGGACAAAACTGTGTCCCCTCAGACCCCAGGACAGAACCGTGTCCCCTCAGACACCAGGACAGAACCGTGTCCCCCTCAGACCCCAGGACAAAACCATGTCCCCTCAGATCCCAGGACAGAATGTGTGCCCTCAGACCCCAGGACAGAATGTGTCCCCTCAGACCCTAGGACAAAACGTGTCCCCTCAGACGCCAGGACAGAACCATAGCACGTCAGGACCATGTCCCCCTCAGACTCCAGGACAGAACATGTCCCCTCAGACCCCAGGACAGAACTGTGTCCCCTCAGACCCCAGGAGAGAACATGTCCCCTTGTACTCCAGGACAGAATATGTCCCCTCAGGCTCCCACACAGAGCTGTGTCCCCTTGGGCCCCAGGACAGAACGTGTCCCCTCGGACTCCAGGACAGACGTGTCCCCTCAGACCCCAGGACAGAACATGTCCCCTCACACCTTAGGACACAACTTTGTCCTTCTCAGGACAGAACATGTCCCTTTAGAGCCCACATCTGGAGCTGGCACCACCGGCCCAGCCCCGTCCTCTGGTCCCACCAGCACCCCCACCGTGTCACCAAGCACCCAGGTGGCCCTCCTGATGGGCACCCAGAGAAGCAGCAGTGAGAAGAGCAGTCTGCCACCTCCCCCGCCCAACCGCATTCAAATAGGGATTTGAATATGTTTCCTGAGCTGGGGGCGGCCACGGTCAACTCCACCACCCCAGGACCCAGGCCCCTGCAGAAATGCTGGTAAAGAAGGAGAATTCCTCCACCCCAGAACCCCAGCACCCACTGCCTGGCCAGGCCCAGCCCTGCCTGAGTGTGCAGCCTGGGGACATGGAGACGGGAAGCCCAGGGCCCGGGGCTGCAGCCCCACCAGCCAAGCTGCCCCCCGCCCGGCAGGAAGCCAAGGGGAAGGAAGATGTGAAGGGAAGGAAGGGGCCCAGGGCCCTGGGAGGAGATGCAAGTGGGGGAAGAAGTCGGTGGAGGCCCCTCCCCCAGAGCTGAAATCTGGGGTCTGAGGAGGCCAACAGCTCAGCCCCCTGTGGGCCACCTAGAGAGTCCCTAGGTGCCCCCCAGGGCCTCAGAAGGCCCCTTGTGGGGGCCTGAACCCCCTGGGAGTCAGCCCAAGGCTTGGGAGAGTTAACCCCTGCTTGGCAGTTCTAAGCCTCTTGGTTGTCTTCCTTGAGTCAACTTCAACTCATGGAGACCGGTGTGCAGAGTAAGACGGCTCCACAGGGTATTCAAGGCTGTGTTTTGGAAGCACAGCACCAGGCCTGTCTTCCATGGTGCCTCTGGGTGGGTTTGAACCATCAACTTCTGGGCCAGTAGTGAAGCGCTTAGCTTAACCGTTTGTGACACCCAGGGCCTATTGCTCTGAGCAAGGCCTGTTACCTCCGAGGGGGCCAGCCCCAATCTCTGAGAGGTGCCCCATCCGGTTGGGAGCACACCCCTCGACTTGGCTGCGTTAACCCCTTGGGTGCCAGCCCAGAGTGTCCCTCACCCATCCCCCACCCCACCCCGCCTTGCACGCCAACCAGCAGCTGCGGGCTCACCTGGGACATCTGGGGACGCAGGTTGACCTCGCGCAGGTTGATGGCGTGGGGCATCAAGTTGTTGAGCAGCTGGCAAAGCAGGACCCCATCCCGGAGGGCCTGGGCCAGCTCACATACCTGGGCCCCTTCCCAGGTCACGCGGTGGCTAGGCGGCAGCACCCGGCACTGGATCAGCCAGTGGCCACACTGGCGCCACAGCTCCATGGTGGCTGAAGGCCTGCACACCCTCGCGGCCTCCGCCACCCGCCCGCCCGCCCGCCCCGGGGAGCAGACAGTGAGTCCTACCACTTCCTCTTCTCTGCCTGTAACTAACTGCCGTGGAGGAGGGGGTGGAGGAGGAGGAGCGTGGGGTGAGGGAGCACCTAGGGCCCAGCCTGGCCCCACCCTTATACATGGGGTCCTTCCCCACCAGGTCAACACAGGTCTGGGTGCTCAGGGAGCCGGGGGAAGCAGGGTGAGGACACACTGAGGCCTCTGGGCCCCTTTGTGTCCAGCCCACTGGTCAAATGAGCAGTGCCATTTTGATACACACCCAGAATCTACCCGCTTCTCATCCCCTCTGCTGCCTCCACCATGGTCCAGCCCCATCACCACAGGGGCAATCGCCTTGACCTTGGGCCCCAGCTCCCGCCCTCACCCCCAACAGCCTGTCCTCCCAACAGTGTTCAGAGGGAGCCTGTGAACACTAGAGCTAGGGCGCGTCTCTCTTCTGCCAACAACCCTCCATGGTTCCCACCTCTCTCCAGGCAAAAGCCCTAGTCCTCCCCTCGACCCACAAGGCCCTGCCTTCCCCTTTCCTCTCTCTCCCTCCCTCTGCTCCATCTCGCAGGCTGTGTGGCCTCTGCGTTGGGCCACCTCATGGCTAGTTCCCTCAACTCCTGTAGGTCTTTGCCCAAATGTCACCTTCTCATGAGATCGTTCCAAACAGTGCCTCCAACTTCAAATCACAGCCCTTTTTCCTACTTCATCACACCCTATCCCACCTCCCTGTGTAAAGGCCTGGTCACCATCTTACACACCTGACATGTTATTATGCTTATTTTTGATTGTCCCTTTCTCACACCAGAACATCCACGACAGCAGGAATGTGTATCTCTTCTGTTCACTGTAGGTCCCTAGGTGGCGCCAATAGTTTGCACTCAATTACTATTTTTTTTTCTCCCAAATAACGTGCACACTGTAGTTCTTTGCCAACCACACAACTCCCCTGCACGTTATTTTCATATGCATGCTATGCCAATGTTTTTACACATTGCTGACTTCAACTGACAGTAAGAAGACAGAACCAAAGTAGGAAATAAGCAGACCTAACATAACGCCGACAACATCAACTCGAATGCACCTGACAACAACAACATAACCTCATGGTTTCACTTAAGACAATCGCTTGAGGTTTTTACATTCAACCTTTGAGCTAATGTGCTATAATGATCACCTTAAATTAATAGAAACAAATGCACAGGTTTGCTTGTTTATTTTCGAGTTACTGGGGGCCTTCCAAACTCGATCCATGACATCTGGAATATGGCTTATGCTTTAATTATACAATTATGATCAAAAGCAACATTTTTGGACTATTTTTATACACATAAGCAGGAGATTGAAGAAAAAGAACAGAAGGCGATTATTTACCTGTCATCTGGGAGGACAGGTGAATGAGGCTGAAATTCACTTCTGGAAATGTCACCAGACTGCATGGTATATGCTTGGGGCTGCAACGCCAGAACTGTTTTAGTTAATTTCATCATTTCCTTACATTGCATGTGTAGGCACATTATTTGGAAAACAACACAGTACTAGCCCAAATGTTGATGATTTGAACCTAGCCAGTGGCACGGTGGGAGGCCTGGTGACCTGCTTCTGTAAAGATCACACCCAAGAAAATCCTATGGACCGTGAGACCAGAAGAACTAGATGGTGCCCGGCTACCACAGTCAACCACTCAGAGGGGGATCTGTGTAGGAGATCCTGGATAGAGAGGGAGAACAACGTGGAACAAAACTCAAAATCATTAAAAAAGGGACCAGGTTTGCTGGTCTGATAGAGCCTGGTGAGACCCCTGAGACTGTGGCCCCAGCTGCCCTTCAGGTCTGGAAGTGAACTCACTCCTGTGGCTGCCAGCCAAACAACAGACAGGCATATGGGGTGAGCATTTACATCAGGTAGGTCCACTCCTTGGAGAGATCAATCGTGGCAAAACAGAAAGGCAGTGTTTGCACAGGGAGACAGCTCAGAGGGGGGGCCAGGAGTGCATGGGAGGGAAGGACAGAGGGAAGAGGTAACTATGGGGAGGCAGTGGGGAGAGAGCTGTTACATTGTGGGGAATGGCAGTCAATGTCATGAAACAGAATGTGTATGAAGCGCTGCACAGAAAATGAATTTGCTCTGTAAACTTTCACCCAAATCATAATTAAAATTAAAAAAGAAAAAACGCTAAGGAGTGGTCCTGCTCTGTCACATGGTGTCTCCGTGAGCAAAAATTGACTTGATGGCAAAGGGTTTGAGTGGGTTTGTGGGTTTTTTTTAACTGTTGTGCCCTCAGTGTTGGCCCATATCTGTGCTTCATAAATATATGATTATGAATGGATGAATGAAAGCTCTATTGCCTGTTCATCTGACATTCATGCCAGGTCTGTCCATATACCACCATCACCACGCCCATCACCCACATCAGAGCCACCATCACCTCTCTCCTTATACACTGCAGAAGCATCATTCTTTAACTCATTCCTTCAGCTAGCTCTGACTGTCTTCGTAGCCTTCATCAGTAGCCAAAATCCTCGTTTGTCCATGAGGTCTCTCCTCCAAGCCCCACTAGGCTCCACCTCCTACAGCTCCCTTTGGACTTTTTAACTTCTGTAACCACTAGGGGGCGCCAGACCCTTGCACTGGACTTATCCCTGCCCTCTGCTGGTTCCGAAAACCACGTGCGTGGGAGTCAAGATAGCCTTCCGTGTCCCTCCTGATCTTAGAGACCCTTCCCACATTATCTGGGGAAAGCCCAGCCTGGAAGTCCCCGGCCTCACCTTTTAAAAAACAAAAAGCAAACCCGTTGCCTTGAAATCAGTTCTGACTCATGGACATCTCATGTCACCTCCGCCATAGGGTTTTCTTGACTGCAATCTCTTATGGAAGCAGATCGCCAGCCTTTCTTCCGCTGCACCACTGAGTAGGTCTGCACCCCAAGTTTCAGGTCCCTGGGTAGTGTAAATGGTTTGCTCTTGGCTAAAACCATGTGCACTACCCAGGGCCTGAAATCCATACAAACCCCTCCTTTCTACTCATAGCTGTTCCCACAGAAGGATTCTGGAAAGATGATGGTGTGAGCAATTCACATGAATACCTTCGGTAGCGTAGTGCCTAAGGCACCTGACTGCTAACCAGAAGGCTGGCGGTTCAAACCCACCAGCCACTCCTCGGAAGGAAGATGGGGCAATCTACTTCGGTAGTGATACT